CTCTGGCCGGTGGGATCCAAAACGGAAGTGACCGAGTGCAGCTGTGTATGTAAAAACCCCAGGGTTCTACCTGATTCCTCACCCGTAACTCCAGAGTTAAGACTTTCTTTTACCCCTCGCCACCAAGAGAAACTCGGGTGTCTTGGTCTACAGGTTTGCAGAAATGGGTCAGACCAGCGGTTTTCAAACTCTTTTCCTCATGACCCAGTTGAAGAAAATTGTTGAGGCCGTGACCCAACAGAATTTGACTGGAGTGTGGGTGCCAGGGTGGAGCTGTAGATGAGAGCTTTGGGGTGCAGGGGGGAAACTCTGGTTTTTGTGGGGCTCAGGGCTGGGGCAGAAGAGGCTTACCTTGAACAGCTCCCCTAGTTTGAAAACCACTGGGCTAGACAGAGAGTTCCTGATACTGCGAAGTAACTTTTTTTCAAATTGACTCTTTTTCGAATTTTTCTTTGTAACACTCATTCCCGTGTCGATATGATGCACGTGCTGTTGGCTTTGAATTTTTCAGGCAGTTTCAAGGTCAGATAGCTGCAGGAAAGGGATGATGCTGGGTTCTGAACTCCCCGAAGCTTAGGAAGTTGTTTGATTTATTCTGCACCATGGTCAGTCAGCCCCAGTGGGAAAACTGTATAAAAGAATCCGGCGCTTGCTGAGTCTGAGAGCCTGGAACGCCTTAGTTGTAATTCTGACAGCCACTGACTCACTGTGACTAAGGCCAGGTCTACGCTCATAGGGAACGTCGAATCAAGCTACGCTTCTTCAGCTACAAGCTAGAATCGATGTATTTTGTTTCGAATTTCCCTGCTATCCTCACAGCTGGAGGCAGACAGAAACAAATGCTCCTATTGGCTTCCCTTACTCCTTGCAGGACCAGAAATAACGGATGTTGATGGGGTGCCCTCTGAGTTTGATTTAGTGGGTCTTAACTAGACCCGCTAAATCAAACTCCAGAAGATCGATCACAGCAGATCTTCCATTTAGTGAAGATGTGGCCTGAGTCTCTGAGGGGGAGCTGTGTTAGTCTGTAACCCCAAAACCAATGAGCAATCCTGTGGCACCTTCAACACTTGCAGATTTATTTGGGCATAAACTTTGGTGGGTAAAACCCACTTCATCTGTGCATCTGACAGTGCTTTTTACTCACGAACACTTATAAAATGAATCTGCTAGCCTTGAAGGTTCCTCAGGAATCCTGGTTGTTTTCCCTGGGACTGAGGTAAATCGCTCCACCTCTCTGGCTCCTCTCTGAAATGGGAATTATGGCTCCTGTTCTTTGTAAAGCGTTTTGAAATCTCTGGAGAGCAAGCGCCCCGTGTAAATAAATGCTCAGCATAACTGTGTGGGCAGGGCTGGCCTGACAGGAGGCGGCCCAGCCTATGACATGGCAGGGACCTGCCCAACCGTCGGCCCTGCAGGAGTTAGACACAGACTCTTCCCACGCTAACACCAGCTGCTCTTATCTGCACGCGCCCCTGGCAGGAACGAAGACATCCTGCTGTGCCCCAGATAAGCCCCACGGCGGCTGCTTGGGACTCGCTGTGCAGCAGCTGATGTACAGCTGGGTTACCGGCTTCTTACCCCACTGGTTCTGCCGAGGCACTGACCCACTGGGATTGAGAAGAGCTGCACCTCTGCGCTTCCCAGATCACGGGGTTCTTACCCCCACAGAACTGGAGAAATTAGAATGGAATATCTTGAGCAAGGTTATGGACACGGCTTGAAGTAGGTGACCCTCTCGGGCCAGGATGTAAGGCAAATCCTTAGATGTGCCAAGGCTAATCCTTTCCCCTCCCCCCCATCCTGTCAATTTCTGAGGGATTGGCTCAAATCCAATAGGTTTAATCTGCCCTAAGCCCCTGACATTTAAAAAGCCCAAATCAGCCCAACTTGGCTCATTTATTTTGTCCCAAAGTTGATGCCGCTCTCTAGCCCCGTCTCCCCTCTGTCTCCAGAGGCTCTTCTCTGGCCCCGGCCTTGCACTGTTACTCCGGGTTATCACTGTAGTGCCTGGTGACCAACTAGAACGGACCCGGTGCTGTACAAATGCAGGGGGTGCGTCTGATTGGTCCTTCAGCCCTGCCGAGCAGCTGAGGGCGTCTTATCAAGTGAGGCAGTGCTGTGGGCTCGCTCTGTCTCTGGGCTCTACCACGTGGCTCACACATGCCTTTTTTTTTTTTTTTTTTTTCTTTGCACTCTAGTTCGCCGCTCCCAATATGACCAGCGTGCTGGAGCAGCTCAACGTTATCAATGGGATTCTCTTCATTCCACTCAGGTAGAGTGTTCCGTGCCTTCGAGTGCTTCCCCTACCAGCCCCCGTGGCCCGGCTAGTGGAGGGGAGATGGGTTTGCCCCTGGAATTCTGGCACTGCGATGGTGTTGAGCTCCGATGCCATGTGGACTCTTTGGGTACGTGTAGACTGCATCCCTCTGTCCGCAGAGGGATGCAGATTAGGCAGGTCGACATTGCAAATGAGGCAGGGATTTAAATATCCTGTGCCTAATTTGCATAAAAATGGCTGCTGCGTTTTGCTGACTCAGCACGTTGTCAGCAAAAATTGGCAGTCTAGAGGGGGATCTGTTGAGAAAGAAAGCCTCTCTCGACAGATCCTGTAAACCTCCTTGCAGGAGGCATAAGGGATCTGTTGAGAGAGGCTTTCTTTCTCGACAGATCCCATCTAGACTGCTGCTTTTTGCCAACGAAGTGCTGAGTCGGCAAAACGTGGCAGCCATTTTTATACAAATCAGGCGTGGGATATTTAAATCTCTTATTCATTTGCAATGTCGTCCTGCCTAATCTGCATCCCTCCGCCGACAGAGGGATGCAGTCTAGACACACCCTTTGAGACCCAGGTCATTGTGGAGATGTTGGCGATTTTTCTTACTGTGGTTAGCACAGGCTCCAAGCCAAGGCCGAGTGTTTCTCTTCGGTGAACAAATCACTTCTAAGCCAGGCCGGGACCACACCATATTGCTGAACACTCACCGGCACCAGGCCTGCAACCGCCAGAGGCTGCTCCTTGGGCATAGCAGAGGCAGCTACTGCTGCCCACCAGCCATAAGTCGGATGGGATATGGGCAGCGAGGAGCCGCCGTTAGCGGCTTTAAGATCTTGGCTGGAGGAAGGCTTTGCAGGCTGCAGTGGGGTAGGCCCAGTTTGAGGTGTAAGCCGTGTTGTGCAGGCTTCTCATCTTTCTGCTTCCCTCCCTAGCCAAAAGGACTTGGAGAACCTTAAAGCAGAGGTGCAGCGGCGCCAGCAGCTCCAGGAGGCTGTAAAAAGCAGTGAGCAGCTGGAAGTAGAAGACACAGTCTCGGAGGAGAGAGAGGCTGAGCCGAACCTGCCTGCTGCTGAGGTCTCAGCACCGAGCTCTGCTTAGTGTACCTCGCTTAAAAAAAAAAAATTAAACCCTCCCCTCTTTCTGAATCTGAACCAGGGTCTTGGACTCCCCTGGGGCAGCTTCTCCTTTGTTGACAATGTTATTGCACTGGTACAACGAATACACAATGCAAAGAACTAAGGTGAGAAATAGGATCTGACTGTGCGCGTCCTCCGCGCGGCGGGGGAAGGTGGCCGGGATGCAGCCGTGTCCGCAAGCGCAGCCTAGGGGAGCCCAGCCGGCGGCTGTCGCGGCAGCGTGTGTGTTTGTGTGTGCGTGTGCACGCGTGGGGGTGGCATCAGTCCATTTTGACTTTGTAGAGCGAGATGAATTCCAAATGAGTTGTCTGGAGGTAGAACATTTCTCAGGTCATTTTTATGTTGACTAAGGACACTGTTTTGCAAAACCAACCCACCCTCCCATTGCTCAGTTCTAGCACCAGCCCTGGAGAAAGCAGCCACGTTTGTCCATCGAAAGGATTGAAACCTGTGGGAAGCGAGGGGCAGCGTGCTGCTTTTTTCTACTGTAGGGCATAGCCACTTGGGTCCATTAGCTTGTCTCTTGTTGTCGTTCAGTTCAGAGTTTCCAGGGGATTTTCAACCTTCACACTTCACGATCTCATGCCACCCACGTGCTCTCTGCGTGAGCAGCTTAGGAAACTGCATCCAAAGAGTAAGGGTTTGAAATAAAATACGTATTCATCCATTTACAAATGGAAATTCCCAGTGCCTATAATGGATCAGTGTTGGCATGAAAGGGGCCCGTACAAACAATTCACATAATGGGGAAACCGTGCCTCTCTTGGGATAGCTTGGGGCCGGGGAGGAGGGTGTGCTCTTCTGACAGCTGCTGCTTTAATACAAATTGTATGAGCATCAGAAGTGAATCCTCCTGCAAGGTGATCAGCAAACTTCAAGCAGTTTGAATCATGTGTCTTGACGCGGCGTTTTTCCCTCGGGGTGGCTGAATGCTACGAATCCCGGAGCACTTAGCGCTATGGCTAATGTCTTCACTTTTTTTGTTTGCATGCTGGGTTGAGATCGCTCCCAGCAGCGCTTCCATTGCAGGCGATGGATGTTAGTGAAATGGCAGATGCCAACGAATGAATATTGATTGTTTTTTCTTCTTGCTTCCCCTGGCCCCTGTTAAATGCAGCATGCTTCCTGCTGGTGCAGTCGCAAGGCCAATAGGTCCTGTCCACTGCAGGCTATGGTATGCCGACAGAGTTGAATGTCCTTTTCCAAGTAAATGAAGACATAGAATAAGCTAGGATTGCTAGTCCATGCTCTTGGTCAGCAGCAGTTCTCTGCTAATTTGCATTGCTTTTTTGATGACCTTCTGGGAAAACAAGTGCTATCACTGTGCTCTTTATCCTTGGTTTCCTGTACTGCGTTACTGGGTATTTGTAACCTGATTGGGGGGGGGAGGTACAAAGCAGGAGGCATCCTTGATCCAAAAGAAGTTGCTCTCCCCTGGAAAAATATTCAATAAATGACAAGGCATCTTTCACACAAGGGTTTCTGGTATTGTCTTCCAGTTCTAGTCCATTAATTACATCTTTTAAATAAAAATATGCAAAGTAGTTTACTAAGAACTTCAAGTTTGTTGTGTTGACTCAAAGCAGAGGCTAGGGGCTTATAGTTGCTGCTGCTTAAAAGCAGCCAATTCTACTTCTCACTAGTGCAAAGAAAGGGAAACATGTCAGAAGCGGCCTGGACCCAGAGTCGACACTTAGGCTTCTGTGAAAATTCCAACCTTAACTCCTTTCTGCTAACACAACACCCACGTGCCTCTGTCCTTCACTGGGATGTGGCTCACGCTAGTAAGCTAAGACTGCCAGAGTGGTTTAATTCCTGGGAAAGGGCTTAAATGTGTATTCTGCATTTAGCACACAATTCCCCCCTGCCTCTATTTCTAATGAAGCTCAAAACAAATGACCCACGTGCTAAGATTTTGCTCTAGCATCCTGGCAGACTACTCCGAGCCTAGGAACTGAGTCTCTTTTAAAGTAATTATCAACAGCTGTAGGTAGCTGTTTAACAAAAGGGAGGCAGGCTCAGCTCTCTGAAAGGGTAAATCGTCTCACCCCACCTAACACCCACATCCCCCACTGCCCAGGAGGTTGCTCTAGTGCAGGGCTACTCAACACAACGGCCAGCAGGCCACATGCTGCTCATCTGTTTGCGGCGTGGGTGCGATTCTTTGAACGTGGCCTCCACTGAAAACACACTCCACAACAGCAAGGCCTTGCCGAGGCGGGGTGAGCACTCAAAGATGCAAGCGGCCAGGCTGGCTGGAACAGATAAGTACAGGGTGTTGGTATTTCTAGCCACGCAGGGAGGAGGTGCTGGGGCATTGTGGGAAGTGCTTTGTGTTCATGCCTGTCAGTGTGAAGGACGCTCTTTGTGTATATTTGCATATATATATATATATACAACCACAGTTAAGTTGCAGCCCTCGCTAGGCACTGTCGCATGGTCCCCAGGGCTTCCAAAGTTGAGTAGCCCTGCACTAATGAAACGACAAAGATTCTACCTTTGTTTAAAAAGGGCCAACTGCTATCAAGTGAGTAACTTTCAAACCAGATGGGCATTTGGCAGGATGCAGCGATCAAAGCCGTTTGCTGCTCTCAGTGCTTCCTGCATGTGTGTGCCAGGTAAACCACAGCTTGAGTCTGCCCTCTGCCGTGTCCCGCTTTCTGTAACAGCCTGGTGATTTCACACAGTCCAGTCCAGCCGTGTAACTTACTGTGCAGCAGGAGGTGCACACAAAAAAAGAAGAGCATGGAAGAGCTTCCGACTGTTAGGCTGAAGCACACGGTAGCAACTTGTGCAGGTCATTTGGATTCTAGCCACTGACTCTCCTTGGAAGAGGAGCTAGACAGCGAGTTGCATATTGGAACCTGGCCCAGCGCTGACCCTCTCACCTTCCTTTTAACCTGCTGGCCACCAGCCAAGACTCCAGCTCCTAGCTGGATGGACACTGTCCCTGTTTAGGGGCATGGCCCCCTTGGTCTACACTTACTTAGCCGAGCGTGATGGAATGGGCTCACCGTGTTGCAAGATGGCGCAATAGAACAGCGTTGTAGAGTGTTCCGAAACAACCCGTTCCCAAACTGGGGGGGTGCAGAAATTCCAAGGGGGACACAAGGTGAGCTGACCCAGCCCCTCCCCCCATGTTTTTTGGCCAGGTCAGCTGTTTTTTTTTGTTTTTTTTTTATGGCTCAAGTTTTACTGCTGTTGGGGTGCCTCAAAAATAAAAAAGGGGGCACAGTGCCAAAAAGTTTGGGAACCATAGCTCCTCTCTCCACCCACTGCCCTTATTGCCACCCCTGAGACTGAGCAAAGGCCTGGCTTGGCAGCACCACATCCTTCTGCCAGCTGCCCCCCACCTCAGCAATGAAGCTCGCTGAACCTCCTTCCAGAGATGACACCTTTGGAGGCAGAGTCACTGGCACCCTGTTTTGAATAGTGGTGCTGATAGTGACACCTGCACTTTGATTGCACCCAACTTGACTGTGTTGGCCAGCTGCTGGAGCCAGCTCACGAGGAAAGGGGCTTAGAACTGTTGAGTCTCTTCTAGGCTGTTGGCTTTTCCTCCTGGCCAGAGCTGAAATGTGATTCCTTTGTTCCTGGCCAAGCGAAGACCCTGCTCCTTAACTACAAACTGGTGAAACTCCTCAGCCTGGGAGCCATGATTTTGTTGGCAGGTTTCTGACCAGTTCTTCTCTCTTCAGGAGCAGGGGCTAGTGGGGTTCCGCAGCGTGAGCTCTGAAAGCCAACTTCCCCCCTCCCTTCTCCAATGGGGGGGGGAGAGAAATCAGCACACTGCCTCCTGTAGAAAATAAAACGCAATCCACACACTGTGGCACTTGTTTCTCCAACTTAATTCCTTAGCCCCACAGGACACCGTATTTTTCTTTTCACAATAAAGGCACAGGCTCAGGAGCAGTATCCACTCCAGCCAGCTGGCAATTCCTCAGAACTGCTTCGATTAGGAGTTGGAAAAGAATGGTGTAAACTTACTGTCTGTTACATCATCCAAGCCTGGTGCTTGGAGAAACGAGAGCAAGCAGTTGACAATTAGCTGGTTTCCACCTAAGGAACAGACATGAATGTAAGTCTGGTTCTCTCATATTATTCAACACCAAATCTCCAGGGGGTTTTGACGGAGTTCAATCAATATAATCAATTCTAATTAATTGCAGCTGCTGTTCAGGATTAAATAAAGTTGCTGATGGGAGGTGGTGGCTATTGGCACTAACTTTAAGAGGAAAAATGAGAGATTACAGCATTCCAAAAGAGACTAGATTCATCAGGAGAGAATCTCATGCTTATTTTGACACCATAGGAAAGTGGCAGCCATTGAAGTACTAGAATCAAAGTTCTTCACTCTCCACAGTTAAGACATTCAGAAAATTTTCCAACTTCCACTTATAAAAGTTTAGTTACCACAGTCCAGGTGGGACCTGCAGTTTGTTGCTCTGACCTTTGCAGTCATCCCTAACTGCACACACTGGAATGGGCTTGCACAAAATGAACAGCTCAGGCTTGGCAAATGTTTGACATCTGGGCCTCCCTTTCTCCACCGCAGATGAATTCATCTGTTGATTAAGTTTGATGGAACCTGGCACTCAAGCAGCAGCACTATGGGTCTATCAAAAGGTGACGAGCTGCTGCTTTTCATGATTTTCCCCACCGCCTTCATTGAAACAGCTGCCCTTGTTCCATTACTTCAAGCAGCAGTTTGGCTCTGTCTACACTACACTGATCTAG